TTTTTTCTGTTGAAAGTAATCGTTCAGTATGAGTTCGATCATTGTTGTTGATTTTAAAAGTAGAAATATCAAAAAAGTGTTCAAATTATATTATTATCCATATATAAATATTGATTTGGTTTGGAGTTTTGGTTCATTTTGTTAGTTCGAAGGTTTTTTTTTATTTTTATTTAGTACTTATACTATTAGTATTTAGTTTCTAGTGCATTTATTTTATCAATACTGAAATTTCAATTAAATAATCACATTTAAAATTCTAAATTTAAACTATTTTAAGAACACTGTATTGAACTGTTTATAGTTTCAACTAAACATAAAATGTATAACTGTATAAATTTTCTGAAACTGGAAAGCAAACCAATTTTTATTTAAGCAATTCAGACCTCTACTACTAACCTTGGTAATCAAATAAGCAATATTGTTATTGCCTATGTTGAACAATACAAAATTTCAATGTATTTATTTAAATAATATACTTCGATAATTTCAAGTTCATCATTTTTGTGAGAAACGTTTGAATAATAATAACTTATAATTTATTGTTGTAGTTTTATTAATATTAAACCATATTTACAGTGGTATATAGTGATATAGATATTTAAACAGTTTAACATAGACTATAGAGCACATAGATTTGAATCTTGCTACTAGGAAATATTGTTCGTTAGTCATACAGCAATTAAGATTATATTTTGTTAAATTGAAATAATTTTTATGGTAGAAAAATATGGCAAAAACAATAAAATATGTATKATTTACTTAAATTGCTTGTACATCATAAACATTTCAAAAGGCGTCGCATGAATTGTATTCATAATAATATAATCACTATTCGATATATCGAGACAAATGTTTGGAGTCCATTAGTATGTTAAATTCATTACATAATTATCGATTCTTTTAACTATATAGTATAATAAAATTTTCCTKTCATGCGTAATCAAATTGTATTGAAAAATTTAAAAATAATGTAGGGGTGAAATACTTTACTTTTGAATAATTATTATATTAATAATGTACTCGTATGAATAATATTTGCAAATATTTATAAATTCTTTTTAAATTCTTTCAACGTGAGTTTTAATATTTTATTTAATAGAGTGATTATTATTTGTGTTTGTTATAATAATATGTGCCATCACTAAACTATATAATTCATTTATTATGTACCTATTAAAATAAATAATACAGCAAGTCAATATTTATTATTTTGTGATTGTTGATCATAACTTAGGAAGACGTATTATAATACCTATATTGCATGAGTCCACAGTCATGCACATCGCATAATGCTACGATTATTATTATTGATTAAAAATACAGTGGAAATAATCATAATATTGGCGATGTGATGATTAGAAAACTAAAACATAAATATGTACATTACAACCTAAAAAAAAATGTATGTTAAAGTAGATATGTAATTTTAAATGTTTATTTGCAAATTCATAATTTGTAACTAATGGATTTCTAGCTTGATCTGCTATAAATATGAGAACATATGAAAAACAATGCAACTCCTCCATCTGCATATCTTAGTTAAAGTTATTATTGTTTAATCGAGAACATTTTCGTATAACGATATGCATATAGATACGTTATGGAAATATTTATATAATATTACAAACATATTTTATTTTATTTGTTTGACGTAATCGCAGTTACAACACCAGCACACTATAAACTTAACTTGAAAAGCTCAATGACACAAGGTCAYCGTATTCARCGTWGGTACCRAGTTTTTACGAACGTTAACAAGTGTGGGAATATCCATTTAATAAATAGGACGTATTATGTAAATAGATTAATAGGTATCTACTAGGTGATCTAATATTAAAAACAAAAAAAAAAACATATTCACTGGTTCGTAATTTCCTACCTTTGCGTACTTATTATTTTCACGATCATAATATATGACAATTGTGTTTAATATCGTAATGACGAATGGTATTTTTCGGTTGAAGTGTCCAAACATGTCAATACATCGTGACTAAAATACGAAAACTCCTTCAAACGTTACAATAGATAAGATTGTAGTGAAATTATTGTTCTAGTGACGTTTGATGATGATAATAATAAAATAGTAATGTTTGTAGTATGGTCGTATTTGCATTGCGACGTACCTACTGTCAAATTGTCTTTTTTGCCGTATATTCGTATATAGCGCCGCAGTTACCAATATTTATCCGAACAACGTGTTTGTTCACTGTACACAATGTCGCGGGTGACGGTGGTTTCTATCGTAATTTTCTGCCTTGTCAGGGGTTACGATGGCCAGACCACGGATTCCGGGAAGTTGCCGGATAACACCGAACCACGATCGTACGTGTTGAGAGTAGAACCTAATCTCGAAACGGAAAACGCTTCATTCGTTGGCACCGTGGATATCACGATCGAAGTGAAGACCACCACTACCACGATCACGYTGAACTCTAATAATGACTTGGTGTTGCACGAAATCACGGTAACGGACGAAAACACCAGCAGGGTTATCGGTGTAAACTCTTGGAGTTACGCGAATGACCGTGAACAGGTGACGATATCGATGGATGGAC